TCTCTCTCTCTCTCTCTCGGCCTGAAGCCTTATGATAACTGATCTTCAGGTCACAACCCCGAATTATGAAAACGAATCGTAACATGGTGTTACAGTCTCATTCACGATTAGTCAGATAAGTTCTACATATTTTGATGAATTAAGGATTCCAACAATTTATAACCCTATCCATGGTGAAATCGATGATCAAATCAATTTATTGTAATGATTTCACAGACGGTCGAACACTAAGCCACACCATTTCAATTGACGCAATTGAATTGAGTTTTTAGGAGAAGTGCTTCCAATGGAGCGTGCAGGCGACATGTATAGCCAAAATTGCTGGTGGAAGGGGTGAGATCCAACTATCACACATGTGGTGATGAAGAGTGGTACATATAGCTCCGTCAAGGCTGTGGAGTGGCAAAGACTCGGTTAACAGAGCGTGAAGATGGCCGACGGAGGGAAGGAGATTTTCCGACAAGGTTTAGTGGGAGAAGAGTATAGTTGAGAGAGAATGGAAGTCGATGACCGGTACAAGCTTGGAGTTCTACGGTTGAAAATGTCTACTATGCCATTAAGACAACTCAAACTTCCATAAAAAGTTTCATTAGTTTTAGTTTTAAACATAATGTAATTTTTTATCGGACCATGAATAAACATGATTGCGTTGGTCTTATTTTATTTTATTTTCTCGAACAGCAATTGGGTTAGTCTTGATTTGAAAACTACATGCCTAAAATGTTAAAATTAAGTTATTTCAAATTCAAAATTAATAATAACTAGAAAGTATTCCCATGCTTTGCATGGTCAGGGATTTTGATTTTTATGTTGCATCTTGCCTCTCTCTCTCTCTCTCTCTCTCTCTCTCTATATATATATATATATATATATATATATATATATAATTATATATATATATATATATATATATATATATATATATATATATATATATATATATATATATATATATATAAAGACTCCATATGTATTCTCATAGCTAAAACAAATACACACTTTTAACTCCCAAAACACACGACTAGAAATTGTTCAAGTTTTTTTTCAATCACCAATAATCAATGAATCAGTAAGAACCCATTGGCAACATTCCAAATGGTTTTTAATTTTAATTTCAATTTCACGCCACAAACTTATAATACCTACCTTATGAAACGATCCCTCAAAAAAGGCACTTTAACTTTCTTTTTCATTGGTTTCCTAGTGTTTGAATAAATTTTCTGCAGCAGCTCAAGAATCTCACCTTCCTCAGCCACAAAATGAATGTGCAATTCAATCTTGTAGCCGGCAGTAAAAAATAACCTAAAACAGAAACATTTAAATTCAAAAATAATTATGAAGCATACAACAAAAGTAAGATGAAAAGAGATCTTAGTTCAATCTGCATACATTATCCAGTAATTCGTAGGCTTCTCTGTAGGATAATCGTGTAGTTTAAAACTGTATATAGTAATAATATTGTTCTATTTTTTTTAAGTTCAAAGTTCTTTATCAAATACTACCCACTAATACAGATTATTTTCATTCAAATCCATGAAATGGAAATTAAAAAAAATAAAATAAAACAAAAATAACCATACTTGCTCCCTAAAAATGGAGGGTAACTTAAGTTTTTGCCTCAGAAGTGCGATCCATGTCTTTTCCTACTAACTACACCATGCTAATAACAGAATGTAATATCTCCATCCTTCAAAAAAGACATAACACCTATAAGTATAAGCAAATTGATAAAGAAAGATACATGAATGTAAGTTCCACTCAAGCATAACATCAAACACATAGTGTGCAATTCTGTAAACGCATAAACTATATATAATTCGATGAATAAACACAAATCTTTCAGATATGGTATAAAAATCAAATGATATACATGACATTAGCTACTGAGAAGATAAAGAAATCAAATAAAGACATAGAACAAATCTTAAAGGAAATCAAGCACTTTCAGAAAGCACAACACTACAAAGTTGAATATCAGTTGTGGAGTAGAAAAAACAACACAGGAGAAGGTTTAAGAAGGTAAGAACATCACACAACCAAAATAACAAAGTCATACAACAAAAAAAAAAAAAAAAAAAAAAAAAAAAAAACATGCACAGCTTCAAGTTGAATTTTTATTGCTTAGCAGACTTGAATTTGAATTCAAAATCAAAAACTGCGACCATAAATCAATTCAAGAAAGACGCAAGACTAAGGCTGATAAACCTTACGGATTAAACTATGGTGGTACGAACAGGAAACAACTGGGAAGCATTCTCTCATGATTCGCTTCAACACCTTACGTTCCCCTCTTCGAATCGTTAGTGGGATTTAGGGAACGAATGGGATTTCGGGAAAACGTTGTCGAACATCGATCTTGATTTCTCTATTTTGCTCCAAGTCCCCAAGATTTCATTTTCTGAGATAAAACAAATTAAAAAGAATATTAGCTTATCAGAAAGAGATGAGAGTTAGCGAATATACCGAACTTCAAGAATAGGGGTTTAACTTTATAACTTGAACAAATAAAGAAAGGGGAACATAAATCAAACCTAGGATACATGGGATTGTAATTGATTTCGTCTTTCATCAGGCTATCGCAAGAACACAGTTGTTCGTGAAGCAGATGATGAATCGTAGTAAAGGCAGAAACCAAAGTGAAAGACGAATAAAATTGTTAGAGTGTAGGGTTTTTAGGGTGCTAGTTGAACGATTCTTTTCCAAATCGGAGCTTCAAAAGTGGAATATGAAGCAACGAAATCAGTAGATGAAGGGAGCCATTGTCGGTGGAAAACAGCGAACAACGCCATGATAACCCTATGTGACTCTTCCAAAGCATCGACTATGAAAGAAAAAGAAAAACGTTACCAGGTTAAACTTAAAAAACTTAAAAAAAAAAAAAAAAAAAAAAAAAATGGTCCAATCAGAACAAAACACTGTGCATAAGGGAGCTATTAATTAATAATATTATAAATATAAGACAAAATTGCAAAAATGGTCCCTGTGGTTTGCATTTTTTCAGGAAAAAAGTCCAAACCATTCGTTTTTTGGTTTTGTGGTCCTTTTGGACTGGTTTGTTTGTGAGAATGGTCCCTATACTTAACACCCGTTAAATTCCATCCGTTAACCCCCTCATGTGCCTTGCACGTGAGGGTATTTCTGTCCTTTTACTTACAGTGTCAACACTTCCTTCTACCTTTTATCCCTCATTTACAATCCCAAACACCCGTCAACTCCCCACCTCCCTCCTTCTTCCTTCTGCTCCATTAAACCTGCAAAAAAAAAAAGTCGTTATCGAAAGAACCTAATCGAAGCAAAAGGAGACAAGGTCATACTTTAAAGTCGAAATGGTGTACGTAATGTGGCAGATCAGACCAAAAAATGAAGTTGTCGACGTATCATCCTTATATGGTAAGTTGCTCTGTTTTCTTAAACATTCCTATTTTTCATTTTACCCTTGATTTATACTAAAATCCGCCAAATTTTGACTTTGTTATCATGTACAATTTTGACTTGTAGCGGGTGCACCCACATGGTTTAGTATTAAGCTTCATCATGGTGGGAAGTTTACTAAGTTACCTGACATAAAGTATACTGGAGGTGAAGTGCGTTATGTTGATTATGTGGACATAGATGAGTTTTCTGTACATGAACTTGATGCCATAATGCTTGACCTAGGTTACCCAGACCCACGGATGATTGAATTGAGTGTTGAATCCCCAGTGATATACTACCATTTCAGGATACCCAATGGTGACTTTCAATTTGGTCTTAGAGCTTTAGGGAATGATCAGGATGTTATCAATCTTTCTAAATTTATTCAAAATAACAAGTTGATTGAAGTGTACACAGAACATGGGAAGACAAATCTACTCACATACTTCATGTCTCCAAATGCAAAGGGTAAAGTTGTCATTGAGGAATTACCAGAAAATGATGATCAAGGGGCTAAATATGAGGCTGAAGTTCATGTAGAATCTCCATTGAGAAATATGAACCATGTCAATGATGAACCAATTGGTGAGTACATGTCTTTGATTCTTTTTGGGAGTAAAACTGATGCATTCTCTCCAGAGTATAGAAGGGGTAGAGTTGGGAATTCAAAAAGAGAGGAAGGTTCTTGTAGCAAGAGGCTTAATTTAGAGGATATTGATGATTTAAAAGAGAAGGAAAACACTAATGAGGGTGTTAAGGAGGTTCATGAGGCTGCAACTGTTGTTGAAGGATGCTACAATCCATTTACTTCAAATATTGCTAATGTAGGGGATGAGATGATTGGGGTTCATGATAATGACCATATTGATGGATGCTACAACACCCCACCCATTAATGATGATGAACAATATAATGAACTTTTTGACAACCTTATGGAAAATTTAAATGGAAGTGATGAGTATGTTGAAGAGTATGAAGGGGATGTTGAATCTGAAGAGAGTGATGAAGAGTATGAAAAGGATGAAGGTGATGATCATGATGGGAAACAATCAGAAAATGAAGATAAAGTGGATGACATAATGGATGAGGAGAACAATATAGAAGATGTTGATGTGGACATGGCAGACTTCTTTTAAATGTTGAAAGTGATGTTGAAGGAGCATGTATTAATGATGGTCATGAACCTGAAGATATGGAAGTGATCAACAATGAGGAGTTCGAATCATTGGATGAAGGATCAGACCAAGACAGAGAAAGAAGAGCTCTCATAAGAAATTTGGGAAAAGAAAAAAGGTGCAACCTTGGGTCAGTACATATACAGTCATTCTCAGTGGGGCAAAAGTTTAAAAGTAAAAAAGAATTAAAGGAGTTAATTGATGTGCACGCACTAGAAACAAGAAGGAATCTATTCTTTAAAAAAAATGACAGTCAAAGGCTTAGGGCACAGTGCAGAGGAGTTGTACCTGTCATCAATAAAGGTCAAGTGGGGACTAAACCTACCACTTCAAAAAGCAAGGGCAAAGAAGTAAAGACACAAAAAGAAACATGTGGTTGGTATATACATGCATCTAGGTCAAACCCCGAATCTGATTGGTTTATAAGGACCTTAAACCAAACTCATACATGCTTACAAACAAGAAAACTCAGAGCTTGTACTGCTTCTTTAATCTGCAAGAAAATCATAGATCAAGTTGAGGCAGATCCGAAGATTCCTTTGAGAGCCATACAAGATCACTTTCAAAAGACCTACCAGGTGGGTATTTCAATGGATAAGGTGTTTAGGGCAAAAGATATGGCAAGAAAGCATGTAACTGGGGACTACACAAAACAGTTTGAGTTGTTGAGGGACTATGCTCTTGAACTTCAAGCTACAAACCCAGACACAACAGTCAAAATAGATGTGTGTCCTAATGGCAACCCTGCATCCCCAACAAGGCAGTTTAGAAGGATTTATGTATGCTTGGGTCCACTGAAAAAAGGTTTCAAAGCATGTCTTAGAGACTTAGTAGGTTTGGATGGTGCCTTCATGAAAGGCCCATTCCCTGGTCAGGTTCTTACAGCAGTTGGTCTAGATTCCAACAATGGAATTTATCCCTTAGCCTATGCAATTGTTGAGTCTGAAAACACAGCTAGCTGGAAGTGGTTTTTAGAAAACCTTGGGGATGACTTGGAGCTTGGGAGCAACTCAAACTATACTTTCATAAGTGACAGGCAAAAGGTAAATTAAAACTCATCAATTGATCATTTAGATTGTGTTTTTTTACCAAGAAATTAATTCTAATTATTGTATGTTGAGTCATGTAGGGATTACAAATTGCAGTTGATCAATTGTTTCCCAATGCTGAGCATAGGTATTGTATTAGACATATTCATGACAATATGAGAAAGAAGTGGGGGCAAACTGAGTACAGGGACCATTTATGGAGGTGTGCATCAGCAACCACCATTCCTGAGTTTGAACATTTGATGAAAGAGTTTAGTGAGTATGATAAGGAGGCATGTCAATGGTTGAAGCAAATTCCTCCTGTACATTGGGCAAGAGTCATTTCTCAGGTAATTGTATATGTTTGCATATGGTAAAGATTATGTGTTTCAGTTATTTATCAGCATTAATTGTATGTTATTGTAATGTGCAGGAAGAGCTGTTTCTGATGTGTTGATTTCAAACATGTGTGAAGTGTTTAATGGGAAGATAGAGAAAGGCAGGGACAAACCTGTAATTTCATGTTTAGAGTTCATTAGGGAGTATCTAATGAAGAGGATATGCAATGTCATGAAGGCAATGAAGAAGGCTAAAGGTCCACTAACACCTACAGCAACAGACATCCTAGATGCAAGGAAAAAAGGTGCTTCACAATATATTGCTAGGTGGAATGGGGCAAACAAGTATCAAGTCACTGCAGCATTGCAAGATCAACATGTGGTGGATGTTAGGAACCAAACCTGTACTTGCAGAAAGTGGGAATTAATGGGAATACCTTGCAGGCATGCAATTGCAACTCTGAATGAAATGAGCAAAGACCCTGAGGCTGAGCTTGACATTTACAAGTGGGTACACAAGGTGTATTGGCTAGAGACATGGCAAAAAGCTTATTCATTTAAGGTGGAACCAATTAAAGGGAGACCCATGTGGCCTAAAAGTAATTGTCCAACAAAGCTAATCCCTCCTCCACATCACACTCAGGTGGGAAGGCCTAAGAAAAAAAGAAGACAAAGTGAGGGTGAAAGGTTAAGCAAAAGGCAGAAGGCAAGTGAAGGTGATGGAGTCAATGAGATGCAAGGAGAAAATTCCCAAGGGCCAAGAAATGATGGAGTGCAGAAGCTATCAAGGAAACATGTTAGTGTTACTTGTAGCAAATGCAAGAATAAAGGACACAACTCTAGGACCTGTAAAGGGCAAGGGGGAATCAATCTAAGAAGTGATTGTGGTTATTTGTTGTGGTGCAATGACTATTTAGTTTCTTGTTGTTAAAAACTGTTTGTTTTTGAAAACTTTAGTTATGGTTTGATGATGTGGTTATGTATGGTGCACAGACACTTGTATGCTTAACTTGGTAATGGTTTTTGGTTCCACTCATGTGGTTAATGGAATGTTCATTTTGGTAAATTTATGACATGTATTTTGGTAATGTACTTTTGTTACATTTTGGTTCTATTTATGTGCTTATATCTGACAACTGATACACATTTTGAACACAACTGATACACATTTTGGAATTCATTACAAACATGATGAAGTCAAATTACAACAAAATTATACCATTTTTACCCTGCATCACTTGATCAACAAAAATCCCCACATTTGCCTAACCCTATCCCTTACATAGACCAAGTACTAAAGATAACAATCACAAACATAAACCAACTTGCACATAAATACATCTTCAGCTTGAAACCTTCATCCTTCAATGCATCACACCTTGCCTCCAACATGTTGTTCCTGCTCAAAAGTCCATTGCACTGTTCCTGTAACATGTTGATACTTCTTACCAGCCCATTACATCTTTCCTCCAATGTATTTATGTTTCTTAGAAGACCAGGTATGATGGTTTTACTCCTAGCACAAATAGGTGGGTCAACCCACCCGATAAACCCACAAACAGAATCCTTAGTAGGGCAAGCATAAAACCTCCTGCCGGGATTCAGTGGTGTCCAAGACGTTTTCACCAAAGCAAGCTTTCCACAAAAACAAACCACCATTGTTCGATTGCAAGTCAGGAAAGGAGAAATGGAAGATAATAGTCGTTGGGGAAGAACAGTTAAGAACGTTGGGGAAGAAGATTTGTTGGGGAAGAAGCTGGGAAAAGAAAACGATTTATATAGGATGTTTTATTTTTCCATATGCAAAAATGGTCCCTATAAGTAAAAGGACAGAAATACCCTCACGTGCAAGGCACATGAGGGGGTTAACGGATGGAATTTAACGGGTGTTAAGTATAGGGACCATTCTCACAAACAAACCAGTCCAAAAGGACCACAAAACCAAAAAACTCGTGGTTTGGACTTTTTTCCTGAAAAAATGCAAACCACAGGGACCATTTTTGCAATTTTGTCTAAATATAAATTATAATAAATAGGTTGGTACTTGTTTTCGAACATATCGAAAACCCATTTTAGAAATATGTTCGAAACTAAAAAACAAAGAAAAAAAATGTCCAGAGCCCAGGCCACGTTTCATAAAAAGATAAGTCAATAGCCCACAGAAATAAACAAAATATCCCAAGTTTATTTAGGAAGAATTTATGTTGCTTATTTTGCATTTTAATTTGGGCCGTGTTTATAAAGCTTATCCTAAGTTATTACGGTTGACATTTGGGTTATATTTGATGTACTAAATTATAAAGTTAATTTATAGTTTTAAAGCTAGAAGATAAAAATTAATGTCAGGTAAAACCACCAAATAAATTAGATGAAACATATAAAATATTTTAAATAAAAAATTAAAAAATAATTTATTATAATTAATTAAAGACATATATGGAAAAAAAAATTAAAAACTCTTAAAAAAAACTAATCTAAGTAGTTTTTTTAAAAGTTAGATTATAAACTATATTTTTGCTTGTCAAACACGATTTAAAAATGTTCGAAAAATAAACTAGTTTATAAACTAGATGTAATGCGACAAACACAACCTTGATAGTTTATACATTTCAGTAGCCCTATGACGTTTGATTAATTAATACATTTGTTTCGTGCATTTTAAGCACAACTAGGATTTTTGCAGCGACGTCGATCCATTTTGCATGTTGAATTTTAATGATTTTGTTGACAAAAGTTAGGTACGGTTCCATTTGTTGGTAGATAAATACACAATATCCGTACCATTGACTAACTCTAATATATATCGTCGAATGAAACGTATTATATATGACCAAATTCATAGATATGAAACGTATGTAAAAATAAGCATGAAAAACATAAATAAATTGAAATTTATACCGATACGTACATAAAAATAAGTAAATAAGATTTTATTTTTTTTAAAAGTTAATAAATGCAACGTTAATTAATCAAAAACGTATTATATATGACCCGACTCTTACATAGGAATATACATAAAAATAAACATGAAAAAATTAAAATTAAAATGCGTTGAAACATAGATAAATGCACGAAAGAAATCGTAGGATACATACATAAAATAAAAAAAAAAAAGCTTCTTATTTTTATTATTAGTATTTTTAAATTAACAAATGGGAGTTCCAAATTTACATCGAAACGTTAATGATATTACCATGTGCATGCAGGGGTAGGGGTGGGGGCGAAGGGAGTAAATGGGAGTAAATATAAAAATTTACAAATAAAATGAAATTGATATTATATAAAATTGAAAGTGGAGAGAGTAAAAAAAATTAAAAAGTAGAAGCGGATATCATTTTACTAAATATTTTAAAAAATAAACAGGTAAAAAAAATATAATTGTTGAAAATACACAGTAGAAAGAGGATATCATCTTACTAAGTATTTTAAAAACTAGATATCATTGTAGCTCTAATTTTATTATTTTATCGTGGAAAGAGAAAAAATATATGTAATTATAAATATATTCTTGTGAACTCAAACTACTAAATTGTTCGTTAATTTTACATATGTCTATGGTGAGTTTTAAATCTTTGATCTCATACAGAGCAGTGATCTCATACAGAGCAGTGACATCTGATACCGTTGGGTTGGAAGCCCTTTGATAATTATAAATTATAAATATATAATAGAATAAATCGCGATGAAGACATTTTACCTTATTTATTAGATTTTAGGGTTAACTTAATTTTAGTAGTGTTAGTCACGTTTGGTCACTTAACGTTTAGTTTTTGTGCTCACTTAATCTTAAAAGATCATTTAACTTGATATTTTTTAATACAATTTTCATCATGATAGGTTATTTCTTATTCCATATATATGGCAACTGACTTAACTTATTGGAATGTCGTCATTTGAGACGGTTTCAAAAAATATTAAACATCTTTCTCACTTCAATGACACTTAGAATTTTCAGAATATTAAGCTCTATATTATCAATACAATGGTTGTTGTTGCTTTGATTTTTATTATACAATTGTTGTGATATTGTACATGATGTCATCTTCCTCCGAATGTTTACGTCGTTCCGGTTTGGGGGTGTGACACTTATGTCCATGAGTTAAACATGTTTGGGCATACATACTCGTTTTTGCCATTTTTGAGTGAACAACCATAACCACAAAATTTTTATGTAACAAAATTGTTAACAACACTTCACATGATAAGAACCTTTTTACACAATAATTTATTTCATTTTCAACCCATAACTATGATGCATACATTTACCCAAATGATAAACTTATTGTAGCATAATAAAGCTTGTAAATCACGATTTTATGGGGTGTTAGTTTGAAGTATTCAACATAATAAGCACAAATTGTTACATAAACATGATGTTGCATGCAAATATCCAAAGGGTAAATGGGACTTTACTTGTATCCCCCCCCCCCCCCTCCCCCCGGAAAAAAAAATATGAAAAACACGAAAATATCGGGGGTATGAATCTCACCTTGAAGATTTCGAGCCTAGCCTTGCACAACTTGATGAGCTTCTCGAAAATCAAGGTTTGCAAAGAACTACACATGAAATGGTGTGTGTAAAGGTGGAATTTTAACTTAGGGAAGTATAGAAACACTTAGAGGTTTTCAAGAAACTTACCAAGTTTATGAGTTTCGTGGAGAGAAACACCTTTGAAGATGGCACACACAAAAATGAGAGAGAGAAGATGAGAGTGAGTTCTTGAGAGTGAAGTTATTGGAATGATTTTTGGTGTGGGTGGTGTGTGTGTGTGTGTGTGTTCGGCCGAATTTAAGAAAGAGGGAAGAAAAGGTGGTGCCTTGATGCATGGTGGTCACTTGGTTGCCTAGCATGGGAGTATGATAGATTGTTAGGTGATTTCCTTGGTTGTCTTATGGTCCAAGGAGTGTCAAGGCATGAGGTGTTAAGGCTTGGCAATTTTTTTTTGTCTAAACTCCCAACCGAAATCCTATAGGGTTTTCGGCTCTTATGGCTTTTTCATGGGGGTTTTTGGTTTTACTATGGCCCAAGTAAAAGAGTTTTCAGTTTTTGAGTGAGTATGGGCTTTTGGACTTAATTGGGCCCAATAAAAGGGTTTTCGGTCCAATAAGGCCCAAAGAAGGGAGTTTTCGGCCTAGGGTAATTGGGTCGAGAATTCTAAGCAAAGGCCCAAAACTAGATTGTGCGTAGCTATTGGATCAAGTTTGGGCTTGCAAGAGGTTATTTCAACTTGATTCTAAATTTATGTTCATATGAATTCATATAACATTGTAGTTTGAATTTCACTAATTTGATGCAACAAGGTTAGATAGAGGAAATTGTTTTGTACAAGCTTCACAAGCTCAACCCTAAATTGCTAGCTGTGACATAAGTTGTTATGCATTATGTGATATGCTAAGTGGTATTTGCATGGAAGACCCCGAGGGGAGCCCATGGCAGTCGGATATCATACCATGTGGGGGGTCCCATGACATTCCAGGTAAAGACAATGTGGGGCAGCCCATGGCAAGCAACTAAGACCATGGGGGGAAGCTAATGACATATAGGTCTAAGATATTGGGGGATCCTACGACATCTGGGAGTAAGACCCTGGAGGGAGTCTACGACATCCCTATATGTTTATACATGTGTTATGTAGTATGATAGTTATTTATGTAATATATGATATGCTAGTTGATTTGTGTCATTGTATGGAAGACCTCGGCGGAGCTCGTGGCAGTCGGATATCAGACCATGTGGGGGATCCCATGGAATTCCAGGTACAGACCATGAGAGGGAGCCCATGGAAAGTAGGTCTAAGACCCTGGGGGAGCCCATGTAATCCTTATATGTTTGTATGCATGGCTTATGTCGTATATGTAGTTGGTATAACTTATATGGTTTATGTGATTATATGGATTGTGTAAGGTATGCTACGGGGAACTCACTACGCTTCAGCTTACAGTTTGTTGGTTGTTTTAGGTAATTCAAAGCCTAAGGTCAAGGGCCCGGCATTATGGCGCGACATACACTCTCTGGCGATTTATATTGGGACACTCTGATGTTTTGAATAAAATGTTGATGTTATGTATTTGAAAACAA